TTTATTGCTGTCCTGATTCAACTGTCCCACATGTATAAGAACTTTAAGAATTAGCAGCCTTATTTTTGAGTCTCGAACACTAATTTGTCTATGTCACTTTTCAAAGTAAGGTGGTTAGAAGTAAATAAAATATCAAAGTATACTGGGTCAGGACAGCAAAACTCTTGACTTTCTCAACTCTGAGCTTCTTATAATATCATGTACAAGAAAAAGTAAATCTATACATACACCACATCATATAGCCATCTTGTTCTGACTCATTGTTACTTAAACGCATAGTGCAGTTTCAAGAGTGGAGCAAACATTTGCACAAGTTTTTAAAAATGGATTTAAAATGAACATCTGTGTGCTCATAGCTCAACTTCAGAAATTTAACACTAAAAAGACTTAAGAACAATCCATACATGTCTGTCTTTATAGCATGCTCCCCTTTTTAAAAGTGATCACTAGTTTGTATTTTATGTTTTTCATTATAATTTTACAACTCATGCACCTCCAGGCATGAGTTGTTTCATTTTATTTGTAAAACTATCTTATAAGTCCAACCACAATGTGTATATTCTGTTTCATCCAACAACATTATTGAGATTTATCCTTGTAATTTTATTTCAATATAGTCAAATAATCAATTCACCCTACACACACTGGCCAGACATAATAGGAAGGTGTCAGATAGAAATGATGACAAGCAATAACGATAATTGTTCACTCAAAAAATTTCAAATAGAAGAATCCTATAATTTCATGTTAAAAATAACCCCCACCCCACACAAGGAAATAAAGACGAATAAACACACTATTATTCAACGAATGTAAAAGCAAGACTGGTAAATAGCTGGGAGCACATTCAAATCCAGTGCTCACCATGCCTATTCACCTTTTAATAAAGAAGTATATGCAGCATATTAAACATGGATGCAAAAACATTAAGCTACTCATAAACATGTTTTTCTAGTTATGTCTTGAGGGAGGCTGCTGTTTCATACAGAAAGAATACATGTTGTTTGAGATGGAAAATGCAGAAGCCAAGCACTTCAAGGCCTTATTGGCTTATATGCAAGAGAATGTCTGTTGTGGGCACAGTGTCTTCCATCACTTGAGTCAGTACGGTCTAGGCTCCAGGAGTCTAGGATAATGAAGTCTACAGTGCAGAAAGAATCTCTTGGGCCTATATAGAACCGTAGCCTGTCAATAACAAGCTAATGGCCCTCTAGCTGAGGCAGGAAATAAGGAGGTGTGAGTTCTGAAGAGAAGAAAGGAACTCAGGTAGAGAGAGGCAGGAAGATTCTCCCAGGAAGTCTGAGAAAGAAAGAACGCATGAAACTGAGGAAAGGTGACCAGCCATGTAGCACACATAGTATAGACTAAACCAGTAATTTAAGTTAAAGGTTAGTCGAGGAACAAGCGAAAGTCTATGTCTTAGACATTATTCGTAAATAATAAAGTCTCAGTCATTGTTTTGGGATCTGGTAACTTATGGTTAAACTAGAACCTCTGCTCACATTCTCAATCAACAGGAAAAAGAAAGAGAGCTGTAAATGTTCAAATAGACTCCTAAGCTTTATCTCATAAGTAACATCACATGGACCATAAACGTACGCAGTTAGACTGATTTAAAAGGGACAGGTGGCATATGATTTCTACACTAAGCCTTCTGGTCGTAGTTAGATTACTCTTAGGAAAGTTGGGAGAGTGGGAGAATACTGCTGTCCCTGCCGCAGAAGGCTGCCTCTGCCTAGATAGAATCAGTGAAAGGCAATGTCTCATTCCTTTATCTTCTTTACACATCAAAAAACACTTATGAACTGTATGAATGAGAAAGGGGGAAAGGGGACATGACTCAGCAAAGGGACTCACTTTATGGAGATTCTGAATATGAAGGGACTGTGGACAAGGTGTATCTTTCCAGACCATGTCTCATGGGACCAGCATACGCTAAGTATGTCCTATCTCTTCCTTCTAATCACCTCACAGTAATACCACCTAAGCCATCATATTCTACAGTTATGCCAGAGTCTACAGCATTGCCAGTCTTGGAATAAGTATGTTTGTTAAAGTTCTGTTGCTGTGAACAGACACCATGACCACACCAACTCTTTTTTTAATCTTTTTAAAATTTTTTTATTAATTACACTTTATTCATTTTGTATCCCCCCCATAAGCCCCTCCCTCCTCCCCTCCCGATCCCACCCTCCCTCCCGTTTCTGAATGCATGCCCCTCCAAAAGTCCACTGATAGGGGAGGTTCTCCTCTCCTTTCTGATCTTAGTCTATCAGTTCTCGTCAAAAGTGGCTGCATTGTCCTCTTCTGTGGCCTGATAGGGCTGCTCCCCTCTCAGGGGGAGGTGATCAAAGAGCAGGCCAATCAGATTATGTCAGAGGCAGTCCCTCTTCCCATTACTAGGTAACCCACTTGGACACTGACCTGCCATGGGCTACATCTGTGCAGGGGTTCTAGGTTATCTCCATGAATAGTCCTTGGTTGGAGTATGATTTTCTGGGAAGTTCCCTGTGTTCACATTTTCTTGTTCTGTTGCTCTCCTTGTGGAGTTCCTGTCCTCTCCAGCTCTTACTATTTCTCACTTCTTACATAAAATTCCATTCACTCTGCCCGACAGTTGGCCAACAGGCTCAGGGAAACATTTAATTGTGGTTGCTTACAGTTTCAGAGGTTTAGTCCATTGTCATCATGGCAAAAAGCATGGCAGCAAGAAGAGAATGAAAGGCTCAGCCTGACTTGACCAGCCTAGATGACCAACCATCTGCATCCATCAACAGAGCAGTCCCAATACTGAGCAGCTAAAAAGGTGGTACAGAACCCCATTCTCTAGTCTCAAGTCCTAAACCTCAGACTTTTGTCAAGAGCATTGTGGTAGACAGGTAAAGTGTAACAACAGCACAATCCTAATGGTCTCCAATCCCAGATGTGCCTGTGGTTGGAGCCTCTAGAACTGCTCTGGTGCCCTGAAGAAGACATGTCTACTAGAATTCTATCACTACCAACATCACCAGGAAGCTGGCTTTGGGTCATACATCCACCTCAGGGCTAGAAAGCTCATAGAAGCTTGAGACTGGGTCCTACTCCAGCACGGTGCTGGTCTTAGCAATCAGGGGCTCACCATGCTACACAGCCTGTCCACACAGGTGGTCTCAGATGTGGCATTGGACCCCAACGATGGTTCATTGACAATGATCCAGCAGAATCCCATGGGCCTCACTATAGGTCTTTGGCCATAGGCAGGTAAAACACCCAGCCCTTCCTAGTTCCCAGGGAGGGGCCTATGTGGTATGTGGTCTGATTATTCGTTTAAGTACTGATTCAACTGGAAGTCTTTCTATTGCTCTGCCTCTCTGTCTTGCTTTATAGGGAAAGATATTTTAAAATGACTGATCCATTTCTTTCTTTAGCCCTTGACCCATGCCCAGCCCTTCAAAACATTTATTGTAGTCTATGAATTCTAGAATGACAAACAAATACAGTAAAGATTTTTAAACTAATGTGTTGAAGTTTTGTCAGAAGAAAACCTTTCATACCTGCTGTCTGGGAACCTTGCTTCCTGAGTCAAGTCTGCAAGCAATAACTCCTTTAGTATACCAGTCTGCTCTTCTGTTGCCTGGATTTTCTATGAGAAATTCAATGTCTCTCTGATACCGGAAAACCTGCTTCATTTTCCAAAAACCAGGTTAAGAAGTAAAGTCAACCTTTCTCTGATTGAAGACTGGGGTCTCCCTTTCCCCTTATGAAATGAGGGTTCTACTACAGTGACACTTGGAATACCAGGAAATATTATGTAATGTAGAAATAAACAGGGAAGAAGTACCCATCCAGTGAGAAGTTGTTGGTCAGCAGAGAGCTTGTGATGGTGACCAAGTGTGAGAGTTGACGGCTGCCAGGTTTAACAGGTTTCAAAGCCAGCCATTACAAGTGAGTCAAAACAGTATTTTTAAGTTAAGCTTAAATAACTTGAAATGTAAAGTATGCTGTCCCTTCAAACAGAAAATACCAACAAGGAGATAAAAAAATTTTTTTGAAAGAACCAAATGGAAACTCTAGACCTGAAAAATATAATTGACAAAGAATTAATAAATGCATTTATAACTTTGGGAATGTGAATCCCCAAAGGCCTATATAATATGTATTATAGAAGAAAGACAGGAAAATTGATGATTTGTTGATACTACAATGTGGTCCAAAGAACAGAGAAAAGCAGAAATAAAAAACAAATGTATAAGTCCAGAGAAAGGTGAGACAGTTAAACACATGAATACACATGTAGTAATACTAGAAGAGGAAAAGGAGAAAAACAGAAGTAGTAATAGTCAATGAACAGTCCCTGAATTTATTTAAACTATTGATAATCACATCCAAAAGCTCAATGAACTCCAAGGGGTCCACAGCCATTCACATGATAAGTAAAAGGCCTAATTCCAAAGACAGAGAAAAATCCTAAATTCAAAGAAAGAAAGCTACCTCATCACTTACAAGTAAACCTCTAGGAAGATTTACAACTAATTTCTCAGAAGTCCAGATTAAATGGATGACATAATCAAATGCACTAAATAAAAGAACTCCCCATCAAGAATCCTCTGTCCAAGGCTGGAGAGATAGGTGGGTGAGTTGTGTAGCCTGCACTAAGCCTTGGGTTTCATCCACAGTGCTGTGTAAGGTAGACGTGGTGATCAATAACCAGCACTTGGAAGGTAAATGCAGGAGCATCAGAAGTTCATCTTTGGCTACATTAGGATTGGCGCCTACTGGGTAGTACTCAGGTAAAGTAATTAAGAGTTGGGGCCTATCTAGCAGGTACCGTCGTTGTTTTGCTAGCTGCCCACGCTGTCAAACTGCTTTCAAAGTAGTTACGATTATGTGCTTAGTGTTGCGTTTTCTCCACTTTGGGCAGAGAAACTTCTGTTTGAAGTGTGTAATGGTTAGTGCCGGGGCTCATAACTGCTCAAAGGGCACACCCTAGGTAACTGTGAGTGCTCAGATGTAGAGGAACCATGTTTGTCAACCTCCCCCAGTCAAGGCTCAAGGGACTTCTGGGGACGGAAGGACGATTAAAGGCTTCAGGTGGGAGGAGAGCTGTTGAAAGGCTGGCTTCTGGACCTGACATGGCAGTTGCATAGATCACCTTAGAGCAGCCGTGTTACCTTCACAGGGTCAAGCCAGTCAAAGTCCCGGCAATGGGTTGGGAGGGGCCCTGGTCAAGCGTCCAGTGCCCCAGAGGATGGTCCCATACCTATTCACATATGGGCAGCCCTAATTGGAATTAGGGGTTATTAATAATGTCAACAAAAAAATGAGGACATGTAACTGGAAAGAATACAGAGTGGGGCAATAGGAAGAGTTGGAGGGAAGGAGTGGAAGATGGATATGATTTAAAACTGCTATAAATGTATAAAATTTTCAATGAACCATTTTAAAATATTATTTTTTTTGAAGAAGAAAGAAAGAAGCTGGGGATTAGTAGGGATGCCCCTTGAAAGGGAAAACTGTATTTGTGTGTGTATATATGTATTTCCCTCCACAGGATCCCAGTTAATCCCTAAGACATTGGTTTGTAGCAGATAACTTTGAGTTGTAACACTGGAGGCTGAGAAGAAATGGCTATTTAATCTTGGATATTCAGCATCCCAAGCTGTGAACCCATATAAGTAAACTTCTATTTTAAAAAAGCAAATAAAAATTGAAATATAAAAACAATTCAAGAAAGTATCCATACATGTACTCTCCTACTGTACATTTATACTAAGATGTATTACATCTTAGTATAAACGAACTTATCTTCCTCCCTATAACTAGTTTCTTTATGTGGTCTCTTTACCTGTGTCAGTTTTTAAAACATGCCATGAAGATTTTGTTTCTCTCTTTCTCTCAGATCTCTTCCCCAATGTGTTGGCTGTCTTTGGTGAATTTAAGATGCCTGTAGAACTTCTACCAGATCATACTCCAAAGACTTGTTTCAACAGAAGTTCTGGTCCACTGGTACCATCCCTGAGGTGTGGCCAGAAGAATGTGATGCTGTGTCACATGTTCTGCCCTCAGACTGGAGAAGAGTCGACTCTGTCCGAAAGCTCCGATATCGACGTTGAAAATGGGGTTTCCCCTAAATGAATGCTGGGACATAATTCCCAAGATATGCTGGATGGAAACTACAGCCAATGTCTGCCCTTGTAGTCAGTGTTTCTTGTCTCAAGAGATAGCCCCATTCATTTGAGCAAGCCAGAAGCCCAGGGATCCACCATTAGGCTTTCTTTCTTCATCTCCATCCACAGCCAGCATCACTTTACTACTCGGTTCTTCTGATTCTCTCCCCATAAATGTTTTCATTTAATCTCTTGCCACTAACTCTGAGCTTCTCATATCTCTCCCCAAGACATTGCCTTGGCATTGTGCCCTCGTCATTTCAGGTAGCGTTAGGTTGTCTTCTGACCTCATCATTCATGCCATGGCACATGTAATTATGTTGTAATATACCGGCAATAAACATTCACTCTGGCGATATTAGGGCAAGGACAGTTTGAAACACATAAAAATCTTGAATTAAGAATAATTTTAAAGACATGTTTAATATTGAGTTCTTGCTAATATGCCTATGGTCAGCCTGAAGCCATGCACACAGGTAACGTTGTACCGACTGAGAAGATTTAGGAATACATATGTACATACATTTACATATGTGCATTCAATATCAATGAGGAGAGCAATGGGCTCTCCATGGGATCTGGAGAGAGCCAGGAGAGCTGTATGGGAGGGTGTGGAAGGAGGAAGAAGAAGAGGGAAGTGGGTACTATGCCTGAATGGACAGTTTATTCATTAGGACTGTTAGCTGAAGAAAAAAAAATCATTTTGAGTTGTTACTGTAAAAGGGTAGATGGAAAACAAATTTCCTCTGTGTCACTGGGTTAACTAAATGTTCTGCCTGCTGGTTCTGTACAAACAGGGCAACCCGGAGAACACATGACCCGACTACCTCATCAGCAACACATTAGGAGGTTTTTCTTGGAAAAGAAATAGGGAACCCATTTGTACTGTTTTTATGACTTTTCAGACTTTTATGCTGCGTGCAGCACGGCACTTAGCTACTGGTGCTCACTTTGAATGCATAGTTCCTGAGCTCTGGTTTAAGATTTCAGAAATCTTGATGGTTTCTGTGCTCCAGGGCAGGCAAAAAGGACAACTTATTCACAGGAAGGTTACTTTGAGGAGTGGTCTCTTTATATGTCTGTTTCCACTATAGATCCAAATGGTAGATACAAGCAAATGATGGACACACACACACTTATTCCAAACTAGTTTTGGGTCTTCTCAAGAACAGAAACTATGTCCAAATTTCCTACAACGTCAAAGACATCATTAAGTGTTCAATAAATGTTTTCTAAACACACTTTTCTATTGACTGGAAATTCATAGTGTTTTAAAAACAAATTTCATTTTCATAAAGTGATTTCAATGGTATATCTGCATGTTGTCTCAAGTTTTCTCACCTACCCCCTTTACACATCTTAGTAAGAATTAAGTGGTATGCATCAGACATCTGAAGATTCACATTCTCAAAGTCTGGTTAGGAATGGCTGTATGCAAATGAAGAGCTAAAACCTCTGCAACCCTTTCTTATGAAACTAGAAGACTGAGTAGCAGTTTGAATGACACAATTTATCTGTGTATATATATGTATATATCTATACATATCTGTATATCTTATATATATATTACAGTAAGTAGACATGTACATTTCTGTTTTTTGACAGTTAAGTATTTTTACTGAATTCATTATTTAAATATTTAGTATATTAATTCTAATTTTTATAAATAATTTGGAGAAATAATAAATAAAATTACCATTAACCAGAGTTGAGGGTACATAATTTGGCTAGCATCCACAGAATTCTGTGGGGTTCAGTCTTCAATACAGTGGAGAAGCGAAAGGATAAAGTGTGAAAAGGATAGATAGTAAGTGTCTCCCTTTCCTACTGCTGTTATAAAAATGACTTTACAAAAGCAAGTTGAGCACTAGCAATCATGTGTTCATTGTTCTCTGCTCCGGATTATGAATGCAAGATGCCCAGCTCCCTCGACTCCTGCTGCTGTCACTTCCAGCTGTAATGCACTGCAATTTGGAACTGTGGGCTAATAAACCTTTTCTTTCTTTTTAAAATTATTGTTATTTTATTACTATTATTATTATTACTATTATTATTATTACTTACAATTTTTTCTCTTTGTATTCCAGTTGTAGCCCCCTTCCTCATTTCCTCCCAGTCCCACCCTCACTCCCTCTTCCTCCCCTATCCCTCTTCCCTAGTCCACTGATAAGGGAAGCCTTCAACACACAGGCCTTCAGGTGACATCTCATGTCCAAACAACAGTAGAAGATACCTCAAGAAATGTAAATGCAGGGATAAGGAAACAGGGGTTATACTTCATCATATACCCAATAAGCCTGGGAAGTTTTGACAAGCACACTGTTATCTACCATAATTAAAATTAGATAAGGGGAGAATATGTAAATATATGTAAAATTCAGGTATATTGGGTAATTCAGATGCAACAGACTGCTCTTAAAACATCCCAGTTTAACCCCATAAAGACTAATGCTGTGTTCCCTCAGGCTCTCCTCTAGCTCAGCAGCTGCAACCTCTGTTCCTTGTGTCCACATCTCCTGTGGCTCTCACAGACCATCACCCCCTGCCCCTGCCCCCACTTGTTGCCGTACCCCCGTTTCCAACACCAGCAGGCATTTCCTGTGAGCACACTAGTTGAGCGGGCCAGTAAAACAGGAAACACACAACTCTCACACTCAGCAAAAAAATCCAGAGAGGAAACAGAAACCAAGGAACAAAACACCCACCCAACAAAGACAGACCCAGCAGGCCTATCACCCCAAACCCAGATGCCTAGATGTCAGCATAAGAACACAAACAGTAACTGTCAGGGCACTGTGTCCCCACTGAAGTCTTGCTATCCTACCACAGCAGGCCCTGAACACAACTAAAGCATAAGAAGACCTTAAAACCAACTCTACAAAGATGATACAGGTCCTCAAAAAGGAAATGAGTAAATCTTTAAAATCTATGAAAGCACAAACAATTGGAAGAAATGAATAAATCCCTTTTAAAAAGCCAAGAAAAAAGTAAATAAACTGTAATTAATTTAAAAAATATAAATAAATAAATAAATAGCCAAGAAAAAGCAAACAATTGAAGAAATCAATAAAACTATTTAAGACCTGAAACCAGAAATAGAAGCAATAAAGAAAACAAACGGAGGAAATTCTGGAAGTTAACCCCCTGAAGGGGAAGCAGCATTACCAGGCCACAGAAGAAGACAATGCAGCCACTCCTGATGAGACCTAATTGACTAGGATCAGAAGGAAGGAAAAGAAGACCTCCCCTATCAGTGGACTTGGGGAGGGGCATGCATGCAGAGGGTGGAGGAAGGGAGGGATTGGGACTGGAGGAGGGAGAGAAACATGGGGGGGAGGGATACAAAGTGAATAAAGTAATTAATAAAGAATTTTTTAAAAAAATAATAAAATAAATCTTTCAGAATTCTGTACAATGCAAAAGAAAAAAGTTTTAGGGATTCAAACAGGAACTACAGAGGAAAGCTTCACCATCAGAAGGCAAGAGATGGCAGAGAGAATATCAGGCATTAAAGATACAACAGAGGAAATAGATACATCTGCCAAAGAAAATGTTAAATCTAAAAACATTCTTAACAAAAAACTTCCAGAAAACGTAAGACACTATGAAAAGACCAAATCTAAGAATAGTAGCAGTAGAGAGGGAAACATAAAGACTACCAGATAAAATGCCCAGAAAATATTTTCAATGAACTCATAGAAGAAAATTTTCCTCAGCTAAAGAAGGAGATACCTACTAAGAAGTAAGAAGCTTACAGAATACCAAATAAATTGGATCAGAAAAGAAAATCTCTTCACCACATAACAATCAAAACATTAAACATACAGAACAAAGAAAAATATTAAAAGGTACAAGGGAAAAATACCAAGTAACATATAAAGTCAGACATTTTAAATTATAACTGATTTCTCATTGGAGACTCTAAAGCCAGAAGGGCTTGGAAAGATGTGTTGTAGTTTCTACTAGACCACAGCTGCCAGCCCAGACTATTATACTCAGCAAAATTTTCAATCTCCATAGATAGAGAAAATAAGATATTCCATGATACAGTCAAATTTAAACAATATTTATCTACAAAGTCAGCCTTATAGAAGGTGCTTAAGAAAAAATCCAACCCAATGAGGTATACTATACCCATAGAACACAGGAAATAATCTCATACTAACAAACCAAAAGAAGGGAACACGTCCACACAAATGGCTGAGAAGCACTTAATAAAATATTCAACATCGTTAGCTATCAGGGGAATGAAAGAAAATAAAAGCCACTTTGATATTCCATCTCACATCTGTCAGAAATCTGTCAGAAACTCCTGGCAAAACCTGTTCTAGTCTTGTGGGAGTGCAAACTTATACAGCGACTATGAAAATCAATATGAGTTCCTCAGAAAGTTGGGAATTGATCTACTACTCTGGAGCATATACCCAAAAGAATGCTCCATTCTACTTCAAGGACACCAACTCAACTAAGTTCATAGCAGCTCTATTCGTAAAAGCCAGAAACTGGAAACACTTAGATGTCCCTCAACAGAAGAATGGATAAACAAAACATTGTACATTTACACAATGGAGTACTACTCAGCTGTTTAAAAATAAATGACATCATAAAATTCGAAGGCAAATTGATGAAACTAGAAAAAAAAAATCATCCTAAGTGAGTATCCCAGATCCAGAATGACAAGTATGGTATGTATTCACTTGCAAGTGAATATTAGCCAATAAGTAAATGATACAATATCTGATCCATCAGCATAGTTCTATCTTACTTATCTCCTTCCATCTTCTTGTCTGCAAATATTCTCAGTATTTCTCAGTAACATATTTTTGGGGCCACGACTCTCCTAACTTCACCCAAACCTTAGACTTTCAGAACACAAGCTTTTTTCTGTGGTGGAATGAGGGGAACTGAGAGTGGTAAGGGGAAGGTACATGGGCGAGTGAGGAATCTCTAACA